GGAAGAGGGGGGGAGAGAGAAGGGAGGGGAGGAGAGCGGGAGGGAGAGGCGGCGAGAGGGGGAGAGGGACGGAGGGAGGGAGGGAGGGAGGGAGGGAGGGAGGGAGGGAGGGAGGGAGGATGGGAGGGAGGATGGGAGGGAGGATGGGAGGGAGGATGGGAGGGAGGGAGGGCCGCTGTGGTGTGCGCGCGCCCAAGTCAGAGAGGGCGATGGAGAGCATGTTCTTCATCTGCGGAGGGGCAGAGGGGAGGGGAGGCGCTGAGCAGCTGAGGGCCGGGTCGAGGGGCGAATGGCGAGGGGCGATGCCGAGGGACAGGGTGAGGGGCGAGGCGCGAGGCGCGAGCGAGGTGGAGTGAGCGAGAGCGCTCTTCCGGACCGGAAGACGTGTCTCGCTGCGTGTCTCGCCTGCGCGCGGAAGAAGCGGATGGCGCGCGGCTTGACAGCAGAAGCGTCGATGAGCGCCTGCACCCGCTTGCGCAGCTCGCGCGAGTTGACGCAGTTGGACGGCACCGCCTCGGCGTGGTAAAAGCTGCCGGCCGAGTCCGTCACGAGCAGCTCCCACAGCTTCTTGCCGTCTGCGCCCTGCACCGGGCGCGAGTAGAAGTCGAGCTGCCACTCCCCCGACGCTGGGCCCCGCGCCGGCGGCAGCGACGGCGCCAGCGCCACCACGCTGCTCCCGGCCGGCTCTGCCGCTGCAGCACCGCCGCTGCCCGGCTCCGCGCCAATAGGCGGCTGCTGCAGCACCGGTGCGCCGGCGCGTCTGCTGCGCTGCGGCGCCGGCGCAGGCCACGCCCCCGCCTGCAATGCCCTCGCCTGAAGCGCGCCCGCCAAGAGCAACAGCGTGGCCAGCCCTCGCCTGGACGCGAGCTGCATCTTCAGCGGAAAATGTCGCATGAAGAAAGAAATCTCCGCCGCGGCCATCCAAAGAGGAAATGCACACGAGCTTCGGCGTGCCTCAAAGAGAATTTTACAACAAAACTCTCAAAGAGAAATTTCTTCCTTTCTTTTCCCCTCCACCTTGTGCGGTGGCGGCGTGCCGTGCACCCGTGCTCCCATCCCTACCTTGGGTTGCTGTTTCTGTCTTTCGTATTATCCTCCACCTACGGGGTGTGGACCGTGAGTTGACCAGGGGTTGTGCGCCTGGCCCTCCTGCTCGGCTCCAGCGAGTAGACAAGTCTTGTCACTAACAGAGTAGAAGGATATGACCTCGGGGCCGATGTGACCAAGCGCTGGTAGCGTGGTTTTACCTCACACCCATGGTCTCACAGTGTGCCGGCATCGCCGAGCAGTGTCGCTCACACAAGCCGCAGCACAAGTGACTGAGGGCCAGTGAGGGCGAGCCCATCGCTGTCACAGCTGTGGTAGCCGCACAGTAGGCTGTGTGTCAACTGTGCAGAGAGCGTGAGCAGCCGAGGAGCTGCTCTCCAGGCTTCTGACGCAAAGAGCTGCATGCCATCGAAGGCGCTGTCGAGGTTCGCCGAGCGCGGCGCAGGTTGGAGGACACCGTCACCGACGAGCGCGTTGGACTTTTCACTCCGGACAAAAAACGCGGCACAGCGGGCGGTGCGGGGCGTGCCGCAAACTTAGCGGCGAGGCGCGGGACCGTCTGTGGCGAGGTGGGTCGCGTCCTCCGATTTCCTCAACTCACGGTCCCCTCCCTCTATCCCCACAAACACACTTCCATATTCTTCTCCAGACATACTCACACCTCACTCAACTCCACTGCCGCCTCTGCACCTGTTTCTCCAAGTTTTTGTTGAGAGCCCTGATGTTGGCGCGTGCCTCCTTTGCCGAGACCTCTGTAGTCGCTTGCAGCGCGTTGGGCGCGCGCACACCTTGGCCGTCAGGCCGCAGGAAGTGAGACGGGCCATCCACCTCGATCGCGATGCGTGAGGAGGGCACGCCAAGTCGAGCGAGTAGCCGGTGAGCGGCTCGAGATACCCGTTCTCGAAGCCGTGCTTGATGGCGGCGAGAGCAGCTGCAACCGAGCGCTGCAACCTGCAAGGTAGCCTGAGATCGTCACTTGCGTGTCGTGCATAGCGTCGCAGCAAAGCTGGCGCTGGGAGTCGGGTAGAAGATGCTGCCCGTCTGCCCCTTGCTTCAGGGAGAGCCAGAGCTGCCATTGGTGCAGCTGATGGCGGGATTTGATGCTCCACCGCGACGGATCCCGCGCGAGCGAGTCGCTGATCACACGCGAGCAGTCGGCAAGCAATGCCTGGTGATAATGGTCTGCCGTCGCGTACGCCCACACCGTGTTGGCCAGGTTCTGAGGCGTAAAGCCAGCCAGCCCGCCGCCCACCGCCGCCTCCGCCACCGCCGCGTACAGCGCGTCCGCAGCCACGCCCGCTGTCGCATACGCCCACACCGTGTTGGCCAGGTTCTGAGGCGTAAAGCCAGCCAGCCCGCCGCTCATCGCCGCCTCCGCCACCGCCGCGTACAGCGCGTCCGCAGCCACGCCCGCTGTCGCATACGCCCACACAGTGTTGGCTAGGTTCTGAGGGCTGAAGCCGGCCAGCCAGCTGCGCACCGCCGCCTCCGCCACCGCCGCGTACAGCGCGACCGCAGCAACGCCCGCTGTCGCATACGCCCACACCGTGTTGGCCAGGTTTTGAGCGTTGAAGCCGGCCATCCCGCTGCTCACCACCGCCTCCGCCACCGCCGCGTACAGCGCCTCTGCAGCCACGCCTGTCTTTGCAAACGCCCACACCGTGTTGGCCAGGTTCTGAGGGTTGAATCCAGCCAGCCTGCTCCGCACCGCCACCTCCGCCACTGCCGCGAATAGCGCGTCCGCAGCCACGCCCGCCGTCGCATACGCCCACACAGTGTTAGCCAGCTCCTGAGGGTTGAAGCCAGCCAGCCCGCCGCCCACCGCCGCCTCCGCCACCGCCGCGTACAGCGCGTGCACCGCCCTCGTTTGCAGACCGCACTTTGCCACGCCGTGGGCGATGTTCGCCAGGTTACGTGCTTCGCACGACGACGAGACGAGGTCGAGCGTGCGCTTCGCCAGCCGCACTAGCTGCTCCTCGTGCCACCGCTCGATGCACTTCTGGCCCAGTTTGTTCCACAGGTTCGCAGCGTGGATGTGGTCCAAGCTCGTGCTGTGGGCAGCAAAGAGCCCGAGCAGCTCGTCGGCGTCGCGGGCATGCGAGAGATGAGGCCGGTGAGTTGCTTGGCGTTGAGCTGACCACCGGCGGCAGAGCGGCCAGATGAGGGCGGCTCGCTGCGCACTGCTGGATTTGGCCGGCGTGAGGGCGACTGCGGCGGACCACCTGTCCTTCGCGGCGGTGGCAGCGGCGACGGACCGCCCGGAGGCGGCGGAGGCGCCCACCGAGGCGACAGCGGCGGACGATCCCGTCGTCTTGGCAGCTCACGCTCGTTGCGCCCTCGCGGCTCGTCTCTCCCTCGCGGCTCGTCTCTCCCTCGCAGCCATGGCTCGTTGCGCCGCCGCTCGTCGCGCCAGCGGCTCGCCGTTCGTCCGCCAGCTGTGCTCCGGCCGGGCGAGGCCACTTGAAGTCGCGGCGCATTTTGCTTCCGATGGTCGTTCGGGTACGGAGGGATTTTTCTTTTTGTTCAAAAATATTTTAAGAACGAAACTTTTTCCGAACCAGCCCCACACGAGAAACGACGCGTTGGCATAGGGCTTTGTGGCCCCGTGAGGACTTCACACCGGCCGGGCTCCGCAAAGTGGGAGATGTCCGACTAGTGGTCATGTGTTGCGTCGGAAGGAAGGGGAGGGGTCGGCCTCGAGCGCCGCTAGCCGAGCCTGCCTACGTAGGCGGCATCGTACACGTCGCCGTGCTGCTGCAGCTCCCCGAGGATGCGGCGCACCTGTGCACACACACCGCTGAAGAGGCGCCGCCCCCCGCTGTGCTCGAGCACCCTCTCTGCAAGGAGAGGTGCGCCGCAACGCGGCTCATCTCGGCTCATCTCGGGTGATCTCGGAACGCACCGATTCGTCGCTGACCAGTCCGGGCGCACAGCAGCCTCCCCGCGAGCACTCGGCGCCCTCCTCGCAGCTCTGCACGGCGGCGTCCATGCTCGCCAGGAGCGCGCGGTGGTGCTTCACGTGCGACGCGGTGCCGGCGAGATCGCCTCTCGAGCGGTGGCCTGCGAGACACGGCGAGATCAGCCGAGATCGCCCGAGCTCACCCGAGCTCACCCGAGATCTGCTCCCGTGGCCTGCAAAGTCGTGCTGCTCAAAGAGCGCCTCTTCGTGCGCACAGTGCTCCGCCCACTCCCGCCTGCGAAGCAGCGAGGGAGAGAGCGAAGCGACGCTGTGAACAGGCGCTCGGCACAGTCCCCGCACCTCGCCGCACCTCGCCGCATCTCCGCTGCACCTCAACTGCATCTCGAGCTCGCCAGGCTGCCACATCTCCCCGCATCTCGCCGCATCTCGGCCGCATCTCCGCCGCGCCTGAGGCGGCGTAGGCTCGCCAGGCTGCGCTGCTGCCGGAGGGCGTCCGCCGCGTCGGCGAGGCCCTCGTGCTCGCGATCCATCTGCGCGTGGGCGACCGCGGCCAGCAGCAGCGGCGCAGCGGCGGCGCCGCCTTTGCCCTCACTGCCGCCGCCGCCGCCGCCGGTGGCGGGAGTGGACCTCTGGACGCCGAGGCCGGCCAGGAGGGCCTCGACCGCGGCGAAGGCCAGGGCGCCTACATCCAGCCACCAGACTCGCCTGATCCGATGCCGGCTCGGGCGGAGCTCTGGTGCGGTAGCTGCCTCGGTCCAGATACGAAGGCACGGTTCGCGCGGCGACAAACTCTCCGTGGCGGCCGAGGACCACAAAGCCGCCGCAGCCGAGCTGGCCGAAGCGCGGCAGCTCCGACTTGCTCTCAATGTACCCGTTCACCACCGTCGCTGGCAGCCGAAACTCCTTGCCAAACGCCTTGGCCGTGCGGAGGCCACTCGCGCCCGTCTCCACGCAGAGCATGAGGAAGCGGACGCGGTCGCCGTAGCTGCCGCCGTGCGCCCAGGCAGCCATGGCCTCGGCGCACGGGCGGCACCCGCCTCACCCGCTGTCGTACATGTGGATCACCGTCGGCCGGCGCGGCTCGGTGGCGACGGTGTTGGCGCTCGTCAGGGCGTAGAGCGTGGCTCGGTCCGGCCAAGCCGTCAAGGCCGGGTAGGCAGTGACCGGCCTGAAGGTGACGTCGGGCGGTAGGGTGTCCTCCGGATTCATGGGGGGGCGCGGGGGCCCGCGAGCGGGAGAAACGCGTTTTGGTTTGTTACTAAACTTTTTTTCAAGGGTTGCCCGGCCGGGTTGCTGCGCAAATCTCGCGCTGCGCTAGGCTCAGAGCGAGTTCGCGCTGCGCTAGGCTCAGACGGCGTGCGTGCGCGGGCCGCCGGGGTGACGGCGGGTGAGGACCCCACCTCCTTCCTCGGGCTCGGCAGCTTGTCGGGCTCTACCACTACCACTACCTCAGCCCTCAGCCGAAGCTGGGGCCGGTCCCGTAGGCCGTCCGTAGCCGAGAGAGCCCCCGCGTCCCGATGAAATGGTATTGGTCGTCGATAGGGTACTTATCGTCGATTAGCGCTGCGCGCGGCCGGGCAAAAAGCTACTCAGTATCAGACCTTCAAGACATGCGCTTTTGGCCGGTGGCCTCCTCGGACACAACCACCGCCGAGATCGGCGAAGAGGCCTTCCCATCGCCGCCACGTCCTCCGCCTCGGCCCTCGAGCATGCGCGCCCAGTGGCCACAGGATCCCAGGCTAGGGCGGCGGCGGCAACCGGCAAGAGAGAGGCCGTAGTGGCGGAGGCGGCGGAGGAGGTGGAGAAAGAAGGAGGAGAGAGGGGGGTGGCGGAGGAGCGCCGCCCCCAGCCGGAGGCGCCGCGACGGGGGGGGGGGGACGGATGATGAGAAGATTTTGCGACGAAGGTCGAGGGGGGGACGGGGATGAGTCTCGAATTCAATACCCAATGCGCCCCCCTGCGCCACAACCGCCGCCGCCGCCGCCGCCGCCGCCGCCACCGCAGCCGCCGCAGCCGCCGCAGCCGCCGCCGCAGCCGCCGCCGCCACCGCAGCCGCTAGTGCAGCCGCCGCCGCCATCGCAGCCGCTGCCGCAGCCGCCGCCGCCGCCGCTGCCGCCGCCGCTGCCGCAGCCGCTGCAGCCGCAGCTGCCGCCAACCTACTTCGCTCCACCGCCCGCCTGGCTCTTCGTCAGCAGAATTGGCAAAATCCTCTTTGCGTCACAGACCTTCCTCTCCGCGAGCGGCTACACATCACTGGCTGGCAGCCCAGCCAGGCTGCTATTTGGCCAGGAGACATGTGGCGAGACCGTCCGCGCGCTCGCCGAAGCCATGTGGCGCGCCGCGGAAGTGCGAGTACAGCTCGTGTTGTACTACAGTGCTGGCACGACCAGGCTGGTTAGGGTCTCGTCGTGGCCGGTGCGCGATTCCCGCAGAAACCTCGCTGGGTTTCGATGGGACATCACCTTGCCGCGATCGAGCGGGGCCGTCCCCTGCCCTGTTTCTGACGCGGTGCACTTCGTGCCCGTGCCCGTACCAGTGCCTGTGCCAGTGCCAGTGCCGCAGATGGTGCCGGCAGAGAACATGCCGGCGTTGGCGATGGCAGTGGAGATTGCGGATGTGGACCGCGTGGCTGGCGGCGCGGGCGCGGGCGCCTCGGCGCTTGCGACGCCAGCCGCTTCGCCGGTGCCAGCACCGCCCGAAATTCCTCGCGAAGAAGAGTGGGACCGCATGTTCGCGGGCATTTTTTCTCCCAGCGAGATCGAGTCCATGAGGCGCGATTGCTCGGGCCCAACCTCCCAGCCGCCCTCGCCACCGGCGCCCGACACAGTGCTCCTCTCACGGCCCAAATTCTACAGTGGAGCGGGCGCGACGGTGGCTTGCGCACTGGCGAAGACGGAGGTGCAGACCGACATCATTGCCAAAGCTCCAAAGGTGCGGCCATCTTGGCGGCCGCGGACGCCTGGCGGCGAGAGCATGCTCGGGTACTACGGGGTAGCCGCCGTCTGGATGGCGGTCGCGGGCAGGTTCGCCCTCGACGAGCTGGGCAATGACGCCGTCTACACGCAGACGCTCCCATTTTTTGGTCTCGTCGCACTCGTTTTGCTCGCGAGCCTCGCGCAACGGCTCCGCTTTGGCTTTGCGAGCTCGCTATGTCTGGGGGCGATACTCGCGCCGCTTCCAAACACACTGAGCTATTTGCGCGCCGGACCGGAGGAGGTGCGCGTCGTCGCGCAGGAGTTCGCCAACTACCAGCGGCGGCAGGGAAGCCTTGCGCTCGGCGCACTGTCCGTCGCCTTCCTGCTGGCCGCACCGTTTGCTCGCGGGCGCCCGAGGCTGCGGCTTGCGGTGGTGGCTGCCCAGTTGGTGGCCTTCCACCTCTGCCCCGTGCACGTCTACCTGCTGACTGGCAATTCGGAACACCTGCTGACCGCGGCGATCGCGTGCGTGCCCTACGCGATAGGCGTGCTCGGAATCGAGGTCTGCATACACAGACACAGATAGGCGTGGACACATAGCCAGGCCACGACTGGACACGGGCGAGCTTGGTTACCGGGTTGCGTCTGCCCTCTGCCGGTCCTTCCTCTCATCTAATCCCCCGGGTGTGAGGGGTGGGGGCGCCGGACGGAGGGAGGGGGCAGGCACTCCGCCCCAAGCAACAATTGAGTGACGCTTCTTGCGACGCGACGTGAAGTACATCCTTGCGCGGGAGAGGATTGTGTACCATGGATGACGAGCCGACGTAGGACCGAGATAGCAGTGCATGGGTAGAGTTGTTTAACATTAACTTTGGGCCTAACAGTTGCGCTAGTGTTGGCTGAAATCCTTAACGTTGTTCAAGTGTTCACCCCAGCCCATGCTGTTACTGTTTGTTACTGTTGTTACTGTTGTTCAGCGGCCAGCAAGCAGAAAACGGCAAAAACGGAAAAAGCCCGGGTGAAACCCGAAAATACCTGGGGTTTCCCGGGTATTTTCGGGTATTACCCGCACTGGACGCTGGAGGTCGTCGTGGGTCACTGCCAGGCCTTCCTTATTGTTGTTCAGCCGGCCTAACGTTAGCTACTGTTGTTGGGGAGGAGCCCCACTGTTGTTCTGTTGTTACTGTTAACACTAGCAACACTGTTCAGCTCCCAACGTTAAACAGCTCTATGCATGGGCGGCGCTCGATTGTGCGCGCTCGCGCTCCAGCTGCACGCTGCTCTCAGGTCTCACACATACATATCGGGCTCCATCGGAGTGAGTGGACAGTGCGCAGCTGCGCCCCCTTCTGGACCACCAGTAGTGTCTTGCAACGGCTTTTTCGACCCTTTAAACTTTTTCGCTTTCCCGGCTTTTCGTCACTGCCCCAGTGTGCGCGAACCGCAATGTAACTGACAGTGACACGGCGAATTAAGAATCCTCTCGCGTGCGGGTGGTGTGGTGGTGGCATCGCTATTTTCGGCGTCGTGTTGCTCGTTCCAACCCTACCCGTCGCAAAACACTTGCCGTTTGCATCGATGGCACTAGACGCGCCACGCGCCTGGAGGGCGGGGCCCGGCGCCGCGTGGCGCCGGCCGGCCAAACCGTACCGTCTAGTCGCAAGCAACAAATCCACCGCTCTATATACTCGTTTATTCACGAGGCGACCCCAGGGAACCGTGGGCTCTATAGGTTTCCTAGTCGGAGATAGCCGCGCAGCGGCTATGTAGGTTATCCAACAACGCGAGGAGAGGAACCGACATAGAATAACTCCCACCGTAAGGTGTGGAACGTGACGCGATGGCCGGATCGTTACGTCCGTCCGTGCGCGGAACTCGTGTGTCGGACCCTCGCGCCCCCAGGCGCCCGAGTCCCGTTCTCGTCTGCCCCACCCTCCCTCCCTGGCAGACGTTTGGTAGTGTTCGTGTGTGTGTGTGAGCGTCGGGGCCTTATTTGGGCGCCGACGCTCGGGGTCGTCTGGCAACGGCACCGGGAGCTCGAGACGCAGCTCTCGGGGCCAGCCAACCCAGGAGTCGATTTTAGAGGACCAATCTCAATGACAACCTATATCAACACGAACAACGGGGACTCGGACGCGATGGATAATGCGTGCTGTGAACAAACACAGAATCGCGGAGGATGCTGGGAACGGTCGATTCCAAGCTCACTGACGCCAGCAAGGAATTATACCCGTTTTTGCCAACACCAAACGGATTCGACGGCGAGTTCGTGAACTACGACACCGTCTGGTCAAAAGATGCCGTGGTCGAGGTCGAATTCGTTGGATGCCGAGTAGGACCTCCCCCCGTCCCCAGGGCCTCCAGGGCTCGCACCTCAACCTATCTAGACCAGCGCGCACCGCTCCTATAGGAGGTAAGGAGGTATTTTCTATCTCAATAACAAGGGCTGTGAATCTATTCACAAATCTGCCCATGAATGTGAAGGGCCTCCAGGGCTCGCACCTCCACACTTACGCACTTTCGGGATGGAGGCAGCCCAGGTGGCTGAGCGTCTTGTGAGTTTGTGTGTCTGTGTTCCACCAAGCAGCGCGCCGGGGGCTCAGAGAAGAAAGTGAGCGGCGGGGCGGCTGCCCGGGCCGCCCCTCGCCGACGCCTGGCCACCCTCGACCCCCGCGGACACGCCCAGCCCAGCCCAAGCGCTCACGCTGCTAGTTGCTCAATTATTTCATTGTCAAAAAGATGCACGTACTAGCTTGCAGTTCCCACGCGTACACATAGACACCCACATTGGATGACCAACCCTTAGTGTGTGAGGGTCAGTGTTCACAGTCACACCAACTGTGGGGACAGGACTCGCGAACTGATAACCCACCCCCCACCCACCCCGCGCCGGCGGTATGAGGACGGACAGCGAAAGCCGACCGTCCATTGCGCCCAGCCTCATGGCCGAGTACGAGTTCCTTCGGCCGCCACTCGGGCGCGGTGCGTTCGGCGTGACGTTCAAGGCGAGGAAACGAGGCGCCGATGCCATCGTCGCCATCAAGCGCTCCACGCGGGGCACGGACGACGAGGCCACCCGCGCAATCCGCGAGGCCATTCACCTGCTGCGGCTCGATCACCGCAACCTGGTCAAGGTACTGGACGTTTTCCTCGATCGTGATCCGGAGACGGACGAACCGCGTATCAACATGGTGATGGAGTACTGCAGCGGTGGCACTCTGCGTTCGCACTAACTACAGGCAGCAGCCGCCGCTCGACGAGATGCGTGCCCTCCAGCTCCTGCAGCCGCTGCTTGAGGGCCTTGCATTCATCCACGCGAAGCGCGTCGTCCACCGCGACATTAGACTAAGTCGGAGAACGTGCTGCTAATATCACCTCCGCCGGGACGTGAACTCAGGCCAAGACTTTATTGGTCAGAAGTCGTCCTTGAGCGCCTCACACGGATTCAGTGGACGCTACACACCGTCGTGCTCGAAAGTCGGGCCTACCACCGCTCTCTCTGCCTACCACCGCTCGAAAACCACCCTCTCTCTGCCTACCACCGCTGTGGTCACTCGTCAATACTGACCCGCTCGTCAAATACACACTGCGCTCTCGTCTCTCGCCATGTTTCGTCGGTCGAGCCAGCTTTGCGCGGCCTCGCGGCAACTGCTGTCACAGCCAGTCCCACCGTCGCCGTGGCAGCACACTGGGCAGACCACTGACCGTCATACCTGGCTCCTACCCAACTTCTTCCTCTGCCTCATGTGCGGCGTCCACGCATACCGCCATTACTCCCGTGGCAAGACGGTGCCGGCAGCGGCCGTTCACCACCTTCTGCGAGTTTGCGTGATGGAGCTCCATGAGCGGCACCATCACGGGCACTCGCGCTGGCACAACATCCAAGCGAGTCTGTTGCAGTGAGCATGAAGGTAGAAAGGCGCGTGAGCATGTGAGACCGGCTGTCTCGAGTGTGTCTGGACAGGAACTGTGTCATTGCGTGCTTTCTCGTGTCACGGGATTCAAGAAACAAAGAAAAGTTGGCAACATGGCATGTGTCTCCTTGTACCAGGGTGACGGACCCGGGAACCAACTAACTACGACAGGAAAGCCGCCTCAGAGCATTACTCAGTCTCTGATTACACTATAGCGCTCTAACCGGGGACCTTTGTCCATAACCCTCGACGTCCCACGACAGGACAAGCCGCCAAAGAATTCTTGTACACGCGCGCGACACCATGCAACATATAACAGATCGAGTGTGAGAGCTCGCACCGTCGTCTCAGCCTTAGGCGGCTGGTGTACGCGCGAAGCGCGGGCAGATACTCTCAAGAGGGGCGGCGCGCGGGCGTAGCAACCCGCGCCAACCGTATCTGCGGTGTCTCTCCCGACGTGTAGGTCTGCACGTATTCAACATATCCACAGCCTCCAGGCGAGCATGCTCTGCGGCATCGCCTCTGCAATCAACGCGACTGCGGGCGATGAGCGGTGGGCCTCTCCACGTCCTCACATATCGCAACGGACGACAAAGGTGGTGCCGCCAGACGCAAAGGTGGCGAGCATGAGCGAGTCGCCCAGCGCCTGCTCTCGGCAGGGCGGCGTGTGGGCGCCAGAAGAATATTGGGCGCGGCGAGGGGCGCAGAGGCCGGGGCCAGACATCTCGGCCACGTATGTCGCTGTTGGCTGTTCATCTCTCGGCTTGCACTGCGGCTTATCTCGGCTAAATCTCACCAGGTTGGAGGCCGGGTCGTGCGGTGCTGCCTCGCAAGTAGGGCTGCCGGAGGACGAGGGAGGTGGCGGCGATGACGAGGCGGACGGAGGCGGCGGCGACGGCGAGGCGGACGGAGGCGGCGGCGGCGGCGAGGCGGAGGGAGGCGGAGGGGTCGGCGCGGCCACGCTGACGACGGTGATCTTTGCGTTCATGCGTGAGTGCGGCCCACAGAAGTAGGGGAAGTCCCCCGGCGCGGCGAAGGTGTGCGAGAAGCTCGCCTCGTCGACGAGCCTATCGAGGGGGGGGGGGTGAGAAAGACGCTGCTGCCGCTGCGGGAAAGAGGCGATGTCGCGGGGTGCCATGCAGACGAAAAGAGGTTGTCGTGCGTCCGGTTGGCGCCTGGGCACGGCGGCGGCGAGCGAGCGGCGTGGGCGGGGGCGCGAATCGCAGGCGCTCGCGGCGGCAACTGACCGCAGCCTCGCGTGTGCAGGGTCTCGGTCCATCTCGCTCTCTCGGCCGGGAGGGGTGGCAGTGGCGCGCCGCTCAGCACGTTGTGGCCCGACGCGACCCACGTGACGGTCTCGCCGGCGCGGATGGTGAGCGAGGCGACGCCACAGAAGCCGCCCGCGGGGACGTCGCAGTCGGAACCCCAACGGATGACGTGAGAGCCCGGGGGAGCGGGTGCGGCCGAGCGAGGTGGCGGCGGGGATGGCGACAGCGATGGCGGCGGGGACGGGGATGGGGACGGGGGTGGCGGCGGGGTTGGCGAGGGCGAGGGCGTCACGGTCGCGCAAGAGACTCCCCACGTGCAAGAGCCGCTGCTGTCCAGCTGGTCGTGGCAGTGGCTCACGGCGCACCAAGGTCGACCGAGGAGATCGCAGCCGCAGTCGGGGTGGGCGCACACGGAGCATGCCGTTTCTGGGGCAGGAGGCGGCGGCGGCGGCGAGGAAGGCGGCGGCGGCGACGGGGGAGGCTGCGGCCCGGGTGGCGGGCGGGGCGGCAGCGGCGGCGGGCCGGGAGATGGGTCGGCACTGTAGGCTGCGACTTGCGGCCCGAGAATGTACTCCTCGCCGAGCTCGATCCCGCTGTTGGGGCAGGAGGGGCAGGTGGCGTACGGGTTGCGGACGGGGCCGCGCAAGTGCTCCGCCCCGAACAGGTCGAGCACGGGCGACACCTCGGAGACGAGCACGATTGGGGTCAGGCTGCGCGGGGCGGCCAGGGTCATCTTGTGGGTCGGGCAGCGAGGGCTAGCACAGGTGACACCTTGGAGAGGAAGGTGTCGTGCGGCTCGGAGGTGCCGACGACGCGCACGTCGCTGCAGGTGGCGTACTGCTGCATGTCGACCGTGTGGATGGCGTACCTAGGTCATGCACGGGGACGTATCATGGACGCGTCCAACGTCGCACCAGCACGGCTGCGATTGCGAGACGCACCATTCCCACCGAATCACGCAGTGGTCGCACGAGGGCAGCCAGTCGGGCAGTGTCACGGTGGCCGTGTTGATGCCGCTCGGCGGGACCGTCGGGTCCAGCATCCCCGCGTCGCCCGCGCAGCCCACAAAGTTCTTGAGCTTGATCCAGCGACGTGGAGTGTCCAGCATGTCTGTGTCGTACGAGATGTACAGGGCGCAGTCGCCGGGATGATTTGCCTGCAGGTACCACTCGACGGCGAGCGCCGCCCCAGCGGTGATTGTGTCGGTCGGCGCCGCCGCCGCCCTCATGTCGTGGCACGCAAAAGCGTCGTCGGAGTGCTGCATGCCAGATGCGACCTCGGGCGCAAAGAAGGTAAATGGGTGGTTGGCCTGCTGGAAGTTGTGCGGCTGGGCCCAGCAAAAGGAGCCGGGGTTGAGGCTCGACGCATCACAGACGATACCATCGACCCAGAACGCCTCCCGAGCCGACGGCTTGGTCCTGGCGGAGGAGGCGGGCGTGAAGCGGCCGCCAGCGGAGGTGCGTTCGCGAGAGAGCGGGCGAGGCGCACATGTAGCCATGCGCTTCGGCTGTGGTCACGGCGACTAGCAGGCGGAGCCATCGCATTAGGCCTCGCATTTCGCGGCCTGCTGGCGATGCGTCCTCAGGTGCTTCAGGTCAGCGTGCCGGCGGCCAAAAGCGAGCGGTACTGTCACGCGGCGCGTTTTCTTTTGATGGATGAGAACGGCGTTTCTGGGTAAGCTCAGCTGTGAACTTCCCAGTGTTTGCTCTTGCTTGCGCGTGACCCCTTGCGTGCACGCCCAAGCTCGAGCGGCATCACGCAGAGCGAGCTCTGCGCAGGTCCCGCGACCTTCTCGGGCAGGAGCCCACCTCTCCTTCCCTCCGTGCGCCCAACGATATGGGCAAATCCGCGCCTCGGCGACGGCGCTCGCCACGCAGCAGCAGCAGGCCAGCAGCAGCAGCGCAGCAGCAGCAGCAGCAGGCCAGCAGCAGCAGCATGGCAGCACTCGCTCTGAGCCTCTTGACACATGATTACACTACACAGTCCTCCCTTCGGTTGTCGTTTCGACCCTGTTTTTTTCTTCTATCGCAGCGCACTCTCATCTGTGAGCCTAGCGCAGCGCGAACTCGCCACCCACGCGCACCGGGCCTTGCACTTTAAATGCCGTGGGGCTCCTGTCGTTAGACGTGGAGACGCGAGGGTTGCCCCCCCTTGCCCCACCACCTCGTGTGTGTGGAGAAGTTTACCTTACCTTACCTTACCTCGCCGTCTGGGCCTAGCGCAGCGCGAACTCGCCGTCTGAGCCTAGCGCAGCGCGAACTCGCTCTGAGCCTAGCGCAGCGCCTCGGAAAACACCCATTTTGGCTCGCCAAAAGGCCTATAATACTTTTCAACCGTTGTTGAATGCGGCGGCGCCTTACCTCGGCGGATTAAGAAGAGACTCTCGGCGGTAGGACCTACTTCGCTAATGAAAGGACAGAAGTTCGAAGACGTGCTTTACGAGACCATCCTCCAATCCCCGCGCTGGATAGCCGACCTGCCGGGGGGGCGGGCCCTCCCTCTCACCGCTTGCGGAGCCGCCGCGGCGACTTTGCGCGGCCCTCTCAGGCTCGCGATGCACTGGCCGGAGAGCTGCCCCATCAAGGCCGCGATGAAGGACTTTGCCCAGCTCTTCAACCACACGAGCAAGGCGGTCGAGGACAAGACTTATGATCTGCCGCCAGAACCGCTGGTCCGGCGGATCCTGGACCAGATCCCCGACCGGCCCGCGTGCGATCAGCTCGCTCAAAAGTACACCGACTGCCGCGAGTGCCCCCACGCGAGTGCCGAGCGCGCCTCCTTTGTGCGCGCGCTCCGCCGGCTCGCTGAGTCGGGCATCACCTTTCTGCAGCGGCGCGCGTCGGCCGAGCCAAAGGAGCGGGCTGGCCCGTCCAAGGCGCGCAAATCCGCGCCAGCGCAGGCCAGCTCGGCGCCCCTCCCCCTCGGGCCCTCTGCCGCCCCGCAGAGCGGAAGCGCGGGCCAGTCGGCGGCGGCCGCCTCCTCCTCCTCCTCCGACCCGCGGCGCGTTCAGCCCGGCAAGCGAGCGAGGCCTGCTTGCAGCTCTGCCGGGGACCCGCTGGCGGCGCTCGCGGACGCGGCTGGCGACGCCAAGCGAATGCCCACCTCGCTCGGCGCCCCTCCCCCCCCTCAGCCCAGCGCGGCGCTGCCTGCCCTCGCGCTGTGTGGCGCCCGGCACAACAGCTGCAGCAGCTCGCTGGCTTCGTCTCCGGAGCACGAGTACGCGCCGCCCCAGCTGGTGCCGCTGCGGCCGCCACAGCCCGCCTTCCGCCCCTTCGCGCCCGCGGCAGCGCCGTGCGCCCCTCTGCACACTCGGTGGCCGCCTCGCAGAGCCGTCCGCCCGAACCTTCTCGGAAGCTTCGTCTAGGTGCGCCTACGCGTCGCACGGCGGCGGCGTGCTCCTCGCGCCGCAGCACGCCGCGCTGCCGACCGGCCACGCCATCCCGCCCGGCCAGCCTTGGGAGCTTGCGCCGCACTATGGCCCGCCATTCCAGATGCAGAAACAGACGCCCCCGTCCTTGCGAGCGTCGCAGTCGCATTCAGCTGCGAACGCCCTCCACGGGACCGCAGCCCCGCCCTCAGCTCGCTCGCCTCCGCTCCTCAGGCGCGGCCGGCCACCCGCAAGTCTACGCACCGTGTGGCCAGGCGTCTTGCTCCCTGCCCGCACACTCTCTTCTGACGCCAGAACCCCGCCCGCACACTCTCTGATTACGGGGCGGCGTTTTATCTCTCTGGCGGCGGTTTGCCTCGCAGCCTCTGGACACGCCGGCCCACGCGCCCCCCGCTCTCGCGCCGACGCTTGCCTCGCAGCCTCTCTGTCCCTCTCCCGCCCTCGTCTCCTCCCAGCCTTGTCCTCCCAGCCTTGTCCTCCCAGCCTTGTCCTCCCAGCCTTGTCCTCCCAGCCTTGTCCTCCCAGCCTTGTCCTCCCAGCCTTGTCCTCCCAGCCTTGTCATGTGCGCCCTTGCCCCAGGCTCAGCTGCTGCACGTCGGGCGGCTGCGGCTGCAGCAGGCGCCGCACCAGCCGAGGGCGGCGACGCCGAGATCACCCGAGGCCACCCGAGATCACCCGAGATTAGGCGCCGCACCAGTCGATGGCCGCGATGCAGATCGCCGCGCCGCATCCCGCCACGATGGTGGTGATGCCGCCGCAGCAGTCGCCCCCGCAGCAGCCGCAGATGCAGCCGCAGATGCAGCCGCAGATGCAGATGTTGCCGCAGATGCCGCCGCAGCTGTACAGCGCGCAGCAAGTGCAGGCCGTACAGCACGTGCAGCAGCTGCACTCGGCCGGCCGGCAGCCCGTCCCGGTCCAGATTGCAAGCCCGCTGCCGGCGCAGCAGCCGATTGCTCAACCACGCTCGGCGGGTTTGCGAGGGGCGGCCGAGACCACCGCGTTCAGCAGGGTGGAGGCGGCGCCATTCCGGCCGGTGGCGGCGGCGGGGCAGGCGGCGGCCGCAGGGGCGGCGTCAGGGGCGGCGGTGCCTCTCCCGGCGGCCTCGCCGCCGGTGGGCGTGGAGCGGGGGGCTCGCCGGTTTCCCGAGGGGGCGGTGGTGGAGGGGCTTGCGACGCTGACGAGCGACATGAGCGACGAGGTGAAGAGCGCTGCGCTCAGCTGGTGAGATGACCCGAGATTGTCCGAGATTGTCCGAGATTGGCCCCCGCGGTCAAGAGCGCCCCCCCCGCGCACGCGCACCCTCCGCCCCCACTCCCGCACGTCTCGCCGCCCGCCCACCCCGCATGCAGCGCGTCGGTGTGGCTAGTCCTGGTGCGCCCGCCGCCCAGCCCGACGCCGACGTAACGCCGCCCAACCTTCGACGCGCCGCAGGTGTCTCCGGCGTGGAATGTCGGTGCCGCTCCTTGCCGAGTCGGGGCAGCTCGAGGCGAGATGAGCCGAGATGAGCCGAGATGAGCCGAGATGTGCCGAGATTTGCCGAGATTTGCCGAGTCGGGGCAGCCGGACGGCTCGAGGGCACTCAACTCCCATGATACGCCCCGCCCCCGCCCCCGCCCCCGCGTCCACCCGCCTTCTCCTCCCCCTCCCAACGCCCCTCGCAGGCCTTCCTCGCCGCCCTGCCGCTCCAGCCAAGCGGGCTGCAGGCCTCCGTCCTGCGGCGGCGGGTGGAGGCGGTGGAGCGCGGACCGGCCCGCCCGACGGCAACCACCCACTCCGCAGTCAAGCAGGAGGAGCCCGCCCAGGCCACGCCGCCGCTGTGACCTTCGGCGCCAATGTTTCATCTCGGCCAGTTTTTCATCTCGGCCAATGTTCCGCCAATTTTCGACCATGCCTCTCGACGAGCCGCGGCGCGGACTGCGTTTCCGGCTCGTGCCGCACGAGAACCGCATCTCCCTGCTCTTGCGCGGGAGAGGATTGTGTACCATGGATGACGAGCCGACGTAGAGGACCGAGACAGCAGTGCATGGGCGGCGCTCGATTGTGCGCGCTCGCGCTCCAGCTGCACGCTGCTCTCAGGTCTCACACATACATATCGGGCTCCATCGGAGTGAGTGGACAGTGCGCAGCTGCGCCCCCTTCTGGACCACCAGTAGTGTCTTGCAACGGCTTTTTCGACCCTTTAAACTTTTTCGCTTTCCCGGCTTTTCGTCACTGCCCCAGTGTGTATAGAGGGTGTGCGTGTGGAGGGTGGGTTGAACGAAATCCGGGGACGCGACCCACGTCGCCACAGACGGTCCCGCGCCGCTCGCCGCTATGACGGCCGCACGACCGCAGCTCGTGTGCGTGCGGCCGTCTTTGTCCGGAGTGAATACTCCAACGCGCTCGTCGGTGACGGCGTCCCCGGATTTCGCCGCGCTCGGCGAACCTCGACTTACGACTCGACAGCGCCCCTTCGGTGGCATGCATCAAGCTGCTGTACGGCCCCGGCATCGCCTCCCCTGGCTTAGCTCTCAGTCAAGATATTGTGGACATGGTTGGCCTCTACAATATATACACTGACACTGAACCTCCCAGAGCTCGTCCCGGTCCGTCACGGCCATCCTCGGCCTCCGGAGGGCCCCCGGCCGCGGCGCGGTGCGGCGGAGTCACAAATCCGACGGCAGAGCACCGGGACGCGGTCGGGCGATCTAAGGCCCAGTGAGGCGTATGCATTGCCCACCCAGGACTATCATCTGGACCTATCAACAGGGGCTGGAGCCGAGCAGGAGGGCCCGGCGCACAACCCCTTGTTCAACTCACCCTCCACACCCCGTAATACTGACCCATCCCCCATATCCGCCATCGCGGTGACACCTGACACCTCTGAAACACGGCGTGTATGGGCTATATGGCGCGCTGAGGGTGTGTGGAGTGTGGTGTGTGCCACACACCAGCACAAGCAAACGGCCCATCGTTGCCGTTCATCGCGCTGCGGCCAGTCTCAGCACCGCCCAGCGAGCGCGTGGGCGTGTGTGCCGTGTGGCTGGCGTGACAACTCTCTGGACTCTGGTTAGCGCTCCATTCAAAGAATTCGCGCCAGCGACTCGCCCGCATCTAACGGAGCGTGTCAACACCTCCCGAGTGGCGGTGTTAACACGTTTGAACACCTCTACGGCTGTGGTGTTAACCGTTAACGTTTGAACACCGTGTTAACGTTAATCCACCAGCCCTGTGGGGGCCCCCCTGGCCCAGACCGGACGAGAGACCGCGGGCTAGACACGACGAGAGAGACCGCCCGCGAGACCGCGGCCGCGGCCCAGACCCGAGACCGCACGAGACCCCAGAGCCCAGACGGTTCCGCAGACGCATGCCCAGACGTGAGACGACTCCTTCTCTCGCGGCGTCTCGCTGGCGTCTCGCCGCGCGTCGATAGTTCTCTCCTCAACACACTCTGGCTATCTCTCTCACGTAGATCTGTGGAAGCTGTCGACTCACTACACGACTCGCGCCCGCCCGTATTGCGTCAGGAGCTATTACCTCCCACCTCCGGCGCGACATCGCACAACGCTCTCTCGAGATCGTACCTCGCCACGTCCCGCCACGTCCCGGGCTGTCTCCGTCGCGGGCTCGGCGGCGGCAAAGGCGGCGGGGGTGACGACGGCGGCGGCGGGGGTGACGACGGCGGCAGCGGCGGGCTCGAGGGCGGCGGCGACGGCGACGGCGGCGGTGGCAGCGACGGCGGCGGCGGCGGTAGACCTGGCGGCGACGGCGGGTGTGGCGGGCACAAAGTCCAACGACCGCACGTGACCGGACATGCACCGGAATCAACTCGGTAGTTGTCGAGGCCGCCCCCACAGCACGAATGGGGATGCGGTGGAAGCTCATTGCTACACGCCGTGTTCGCGAGGGCGTTCGACACTAGCGATTTGGGCCCACTGGTCAGCCAGCTGCATGGATAAAAGTGGTAAACCGTGCCTGTGTTCCATCTGCTTATGAAGTATTTGTGCTCCACCCTAACCTTCGTTCCAGACGGATCCGCGCCGCACGGTTGCGTAGGTGGCAGCGACGGCGGAGGCGGGCTCGTGAGGGTCGCTAGTGTGGGGGTGAAAGCGTGACAAGCAGTATTGCGAGACTCCTCAGAGGAATCATAAAATTTGAAGATGTCGTTTTGTTCTTGTACTACATGGTCGAAAAAATTAAACCAGGCCGACCATCCCGACACTTATCCGACAGTGCCTCTCACACAAAGACGATGCCGAACCGGTCTTCAATGTGGCGCTTGGCCTTCTGCAGGTCCGGGAGAGAGACCAGAGCAGCCAGCGGCTCCAGAAGCCGGCGCTCTCCACTGCACGGGAAAGGTTGTCGACCCCCCAGTGCACGATGTTTTTTTCCGTCCCCCCGGTCTGTTTGAGGGAGTCCGGCACATTGCCGGCGTGGCGAACGAGGTAGCGCACCATCCGCGCGGGCTCGCCGTGGATGGTGAAGTCGCTCGCTCCCGCCTGGCCGAACTCGACCGACTTGCCGGTGTCGATGACCTCTATCCGCCATTTTTTGTTGCGGTTGTGGGGTCGTCTCAGGCGAACGCGAATCTTGGGCTTGGATGCGTAAACCCGCTTCCCCATGACCTTTTGAACCATGCTGCGGGAAATTGTAACTAGCTGCCCGAGCGGTGCCGGTTTCTAATACTCGGTCTCGCATTGTCGATTCCCCTTGAGAGCCAAGCCCTGTTCATTTTCAGCACCTCCTTGGATATGTGGTCATAGTATGGTTCGAAGGTCCTAAACTTACGGGACACGTACGCGCGAATCTCGTTGGACTTGTCATAGTAAGATGCTTTCTTTCGCCCATGCACACCATCCGGATAGCGTACTCCGGGAAGTCGGGCCGGCGTGTAGAACAACACTGTCCGGTCGTTGAGCCACGCACGGGTCGAGAGGTCGAAATCGAGCCCTATGCCACCCTGTCCTGCTGCGCTAAAGTTGGCGTCAAACTCCCCTAAGGAGAAGAAGTCTTTCTTTTGGATGAGAAGCGGACCGATGTCCACGCACGCAACATACTGGACGCGTTCGACGCGCGGGAAGTCGTCGCTGTGTACAAGCGCGGCGAACGGAGCCGTTCGTGTTTTCCGTGGTTCCACGGCGTGGTCGTACCCACATTCATCCCGATGATGGACAGTCGCGGATCGCGTGCGTACAGTCTCGCGACGGTGTCAAGGTAGGCGCATCCGACGGGGGGCGCCGCGTCGTCCTGAACGAAAGCCAGCACATCTCCAGACGCAACGCGCGCCAGCTTGTTGTACGCCCGAATCTCATGAATGTTGCGAGAGAAGAGAATAGTGTCCGCAGTGGTGTTCAACCAGTCAAGGTCCGCACCATTCCGAGAGTCCACGTTGACCAGGAGTTCCACGCCATCGCATTGCTTCCATCTAGCGAGGATGCGTATGTTGGATGACATGTTGAAGACTGGACGATGACGCTGAGCAGCATTGCCGCTCGAGTTACAACAAAAGGTCAGAGAATGCCTTCACCATGGACCATGCACGAACGCGCATCCGTTTCAGGTTTGCGGTCGCCTCCGAATTTCGGATTGTGTGTGTCAGAGCAATGACGTCCACGTGTAAAATGGCCTCCTTGTCTCTCTAGTCTCTAGATTGAAGATGCGCGCTCTACCACTAAAGTTCTCTCTGCGGCCCCGAACACGAAGTTCCAAGACCAAGTTGGAGGGGCGGGGGCGCGCCGGCGGCCCGCGCCGCCGCGCAACATACTCATGGAATCCTCAAAGTGCCGCTCCTCCGCTCGCCCCCACGACGGGCAGCCACAGCGCGCTCGCGCCGCAGCAGCCGACGTCCACGCGCAATGCCACGTCGCTGTTTGCGGCGGCGCGGGTCGGGTCGTACAAGGAGAGGCCGAGGGCGACGGCGTTGCCGGCGGGCACCTACAGGAATGTTCCAGGAAATGTCTAAGAGAGGTCCTGCACGGAAGCAGGCTCGTGCGGTCGGCGGGCACGTCGGTGCAGAGGGCCGCCATCCGCACCACCACCTCCCCTGCGCCACCGGCCGGCACGTCCCAGTTGTCCCTGACGTCGTCCGGGCGCAGGTACCTACGGGGAGGTCCCACAAGTCCCCGGGGTGTTCCTCTCTCATCCGTGATGCCGTCCGGGCGCAAGCACGGCGGGTCCGGCCCTCGGTGCCACACGTCGCGCGCGCCGAAGGAGAGGAGCTCGAGCTCGCCTGTGGATGAGTCTTTCTTCACTACTCATGATCCATTAGCCGGATGAGAGGAGCTCGAGCTCGCCTGTGGAGGAGTCTTTCTTCACTACTCATGATCCATTAGCCGGATGAGAGGAGCTCGAGCTCGCCTGTGGAGGAGTCTTTCTTCACTACTCATGATCCATTAGCCGGATGAGAGGAGCTCGAGCTCGCCTGCCGGCACACCCCCGCTCGCTCGGCTCCTCTCGGCTCCGCTCGGCTCGTCTCGGCTCGTCTCGGCTCGTCTCGCCGTTTGGCGCCATCGAGAAGACGCGCGCCGCGAGC